GTCCCAGTCCCAGTCCCAGTCCCGGTCCCAGTCCCAGTCCCAGTCCCAGTCCCGGTCCCAGTCCCAGTCCCAGTCCCAGTCCCGGTCCCGGTGCCAGTCCCAGTCCCAGTCCCGGTCCCAGTCCCGGTCCCAGTCCCAGTCCCGGTCCCAGTCCCAGTCCCGTTCCCGGTCCCAGTCCCGGTCCCGGTGCCAGTCCCGGTGCCCACCTGGGGCGCGGCGCGCAGGTAGAGGAAGGCGTGGGGGGCGGCGCGGTGCCCCAGGTGTGCCAGCAGCGCGTCGTGGCTCTGCTGGTACAGCGCCCACTCCAGCGGCCGCAGGTGCCCGGCCGCGAAGAGCTGCCGGGCAAACACGTACCTGGCACGGACGGAAAACGGGCTCGTGTCAGAGGGCACACGGGGAAACGGGCAGCGGCACGCGCGAGGAATCGGCGTGCTGCTAAACATATATATTGTATAATGTATAAAATAGATATATAAACGGGGAGCGGCACGCGCGAGGAATCGGCGTGCTGCTAAACATATATATTGTATAAAGTATAAAATAGATATATAAACGGGCAGCGGCACGCGCGAGGAATCGGCGTGCTGCTAAACATATATATTGTATAATGTATAAAATAGATATATAAACGGGCAGCGGCACGCGCGAGGAATCGGCGTGCTCTTAAAAATATATATAATATAAAATATAAAATAGATATATAAACGGGAAGTGGCACGCGCGAGGAATCGGCGTGCTGCTAAACATATATATTGTACAATGTATAAAATAGATATATAAACGGGCAGCGGCACGTGTGCGGAATCGGCGTGCTGCTAAACATATATATTGTATAATGTATAAAATAGATATANAATGTATAAAATAGATATATAAACGGGCAGCGGCACGTGTGCGGAATCGGCGTGCTGCTAAACATATATATTGTATAATGTATAAAATAGATATATAAACGGGGAGCGGCAGGTGCGAGGAATCGGCGTGCTGCTAAACATATATATTGTATAAAATATAAAATAGATATCAAATGAGGAGCGGCACGTGCGAGGAATCGGCGTGCTGCTAAACATATATATTGTACAATGTATAAAATAGATATATAAACGGGGAGTGGCAGGTGCGTGGAATCGGCGTGCTGCTAAACATATATATTGTATAAAATATAAAATAGATATATAAACGGGGAGCGGCAGGTGCGTGGAATCGGCGTGCTCTTAAAAATATATATAATATAATCTATAAAATAGATATATAAACGGGGAGCGGCAGGTGCGAGGAATCGGCGTGCTGTTAAACATATATATTGTATAAAATATAAAATAGATATCAAATGAGGAGCTGCAGGTGCGTGGAATCGGCGTGCTCTTAAAAATATATATAATATAATATATAAAATAGATATCAAATGAGGAGCTACAGGTGTGTGTGGAATCCGTGTGCTGTTAAAAATATATATAATATAATCTATAAAATAGATATATAAATGAGGAGCTGCAGGTGCGTGGAATCAGCGTGCTCTTAAAAATATATATTGTATAAAATATAAAATAGATATCAAATGAGGAGCTGCAGGTGCACGAGAAATCGGCTTGCTGTTAAAAATATATATAATACAGTGTATAAAATATATATAAAATGAGGAGCTGCAGGTGTGCATAACATACGTTTTCTGTTAAAAAAATATATAATATAATGTATAAAATATATATAAAAATGAGGAGCTGCAGGTGCGCATAACATAGGTTTTCTATTAAAAATATATACTGTATAATATATAAAATACATATAAAAATGGGGAGCTGCAGGTGTGCATAAAATAGATTCTCTATTAAAAAATATACTGTATTATATATAAAATATATATAAACTGAGGAGCTGTAGGTGCTCCTCCTGCGTACGTATGACATAGGTTTTCTGTTAAAAAAAAATATACTGTATAATATATAAAATATATATAAAAATGAGGAGCTGCAGGTGCGCATAAAATAGGTTTTCTATTTAAAAAATATATATAATATAATATATAAAATATGTATAAAAATGGGGAGCTGCAGGTGCTCCTCCTGGGTGTGTGTAAAATGCATTTTATAGAAAATATATATAAAGTACATATATTACATAATATATAAAATGAATACATACGTATATAAAATGTATATATTAGAGGTATATATTAAAGGTATATATTAAAAATAGAGAAAATGTATATACAGAAAGTATACACTAAATGTGTATATATAATATATTAAAAAATGTATATTATATCTATGTAATGTATCTATAAAATGTATATATTAAACGTACCTATTTGTAAAATGTATCTATTAAATGCATATATAAAACGTATCTATAAAATCGTGCCCACCCAGCCTGGCATCACCCACAGGGCACCCGGGGCAGCCCCCAAATGACCCCAAAATGCCAAAAGACCCCAAAATGCCAAATAATGACCCCAAAATGGCAAAAAATGACCCCAAAATGCCAAAAAATGACCCCAAAATGCCAAAAGACCCCAAAATGCCAAATAATGACCCCAAAATGCCAAATAATGACCCCAAAATGCCATTCCTGCCCTCAAACACCCCTGGGCACCACCGGGACCAGACTGCCCACCCTGGCACCCCATGGCACCCACAGCACCCCGTGACACCCCATGGCACCCCATAGAAACCCATGGCACCCACAGCACCCCATAGAAACCCATAGAAACCCATGGCACCCATAGCACCCCATGGCACCCCATAGAAACCCATGGCACCCCATAGAAACCCATGGCACCCATAGCACCCCATAGAAACCCATGGCACCCACAGCACCCCATGGCACCCACAGGGCACCCATAGTACCCCATGGCACCCCGTGACACCCCATGGCACCCACAGCACCCCATGGCACCCCATAGAAACCCATGGCACCCATAGCACCCCATAGAAACCCATGGCACCCACAGCACCCCATGGCCCCCCATAGCACCCCATGGCCCCCCATAGCACCCACAGGGCACCCATAGTACCCCATGGCACCCCATAGACACCCATAGCACCCACGGCACCCCATAGAAACCCATGGCACCCACAGCACCCATGGCACCTCATGGCCCCCCACAGAAACCCATGGCACCCATAGCACCCCATAGAAACCCATGGCACCCACAGTACCCCATGGCACCCCGTGACACCCCATAGCACCCACAGCACCCCATGGCACCCCATAGAAACCCATGGCACCCATAGCACCCTACAGAAACACAGCACCCACAGCACCCCATGGCACCCTGGCACCCCACAGCACCCACGGCACCCTGGCACCCCTCTGGGCACCTGTCACTGAACACGGAGCGCTCGAAGACCCTGACGGGGCTCCCAGGGGTGCCCCCGGCCTCGCCCGGCGCCTCCAGCGCGGCCCGGAGGCGACTGAGGCACGAGAAGGTCTGGAAGGTGTAGGACCAGCGGGCAGGCTCCTGGTACATCAGCTGCAGCAGGTTGGCACAGCCCCCGGGCACCTGCGGGACATCGGGGTGGCA